GGCGCCACGTAGTTGTTAATGAAGAACCACGTGATAGTGGGACAGGTCAGCAGCTTTCATTTCAATGATCAAAATCTAGAATCCCATCCACAAGCCATACAACCACCTTGCAAAACGCCGCTGAAAGGTTGGTGGACTTGCTCACATGTAAAACAAACTTTCGAAGTTGCTCTATATTATGGTAATTCTTACACGGCAATAAAAGATAGAAATTTGCTATGAAAGTTTTTATCATGTTTCTGGCATACATGGGCGCAGATATGATAAGTTTGGTTAAAATTTACCGAAACGTCCACCAAACCACTAAAGATTGTTGCTATTGTTTGTTTGTAGATCAAGAAAGATCGACGTATGGCTCAAAACCAGTTTAACCTGTTTAAACCAGTCGTGCTGGAACTGTTCTACCAGCCTTCCTCAAGAAACAACGGCAGCTTCCCATGTCAGGGAACTCTTACCTGATGATGAAGTGATAATCCTGTCTGTAGTTTGCTCCTTACTGAGTGTAATGGGAACCTTGGGAAACTTTTTGGTGCTTCTTGCCGTTCGCAAAAACGAACCTCTCCGCACGATACCTGATCTTTTCATTACTAGCCTGGCGTTCTCAGATTTCTCAGTCTGTGCGCTGTTTTTGCCGACGTCAATTTACTTCAACCACAGTGAAAACGAGATCTTCGTGATTGTAAAAAGTTTCCTTGGTCATACCTCCATGGTCGCTTCCGCGACCAACATGTTTGCAGTAACAGTTGATCGTGCTATTACGATAAGATACCCTTTCAAATACGTCACTATCATGACGACAAGAAATGCATTGGTTGGTATAGTGGTTGTCTGGATTGTTTCTCTTGTATTTGGCGCCTTGTACGCTCCTTACCCTAACCCCTAAGTTTTAGAATTTGTCCACTTTGGAGAGCGTTAAAGATGATTGTAATTAAGTATGGCAGAAATACGTAAAGATTAGTGAAGGTGTGTGCTCTTCTAACTGTAAACGTATGTGTTGATATAGCCCAAGTCACAGCTAATTTTGCTAATTTGCTAATTTGCACGTGTAAAAGGGAAGCACATCTTCATCCTGTCACGTCCATGTCGTATCTTCAAATGAGTTTTTTATGGAGTGTTAAAAGTTAGACTTATAAAGATGATAAAGTGGCCTTAAATGACTGTTAAATAATTTTATGACTGTGAGTTATGTAAGATGATTTTGGTAATTATTCTTACTTAGTTTTAGGACCTTTTCGATGAGGTACTTTTGCCCAGCTGCTGATATCGATCCAACTGTGCTTTACATAGCACGCAGAGGACTACATCGAACTCGTTTGACGGATTATTTGTACTCTACGGAGTCACTGTTTGATAAAAAGATTTTTGATGAGTTTGATAAAGTTAATAACTCACTCCCTTAAACGTGTACGAAGCGCATAAGCCAAAGAAACGTAAGCTATGATAACTTTTATTTAATCACGGTGACTGTAACCGCTAAAAGCGTGCATGATCGTGTAAAGAGATCTTTAGTTAAAAATTAAACCTATAAAAATAAATATACAAAATCCCGAATTGACGCGAATAAAACGTTAAAGAATTAGGGGAATTATACTACAAATTGCAAGTTTTTCTTCTATATACAAATTTGTCAAGTCTAAAACTAGCGGTCGAGGCTGATGTAGCATTAAATCGAAATTATTAAAAGCATATGAAGATTTTAGCTTTGTGAAGAGAGCTTTGTGGCATGAAATATTTAAGTCAGTGCATGTGTAAAATGGAGCAACGTAATATAAAAACACAAGGCTAACACAGCTACGCAAGTAGGAATTACAGTTGAACTCCACTATCAACATAGCAATCGCAGCCAAATAACCACGTAAATCAAACAGGTGAATATCAAGAAAACTCCATACAAAGGCCAAATGGATTTGGGTTTGAGATCGCAAAGATAGAATTAGACAAGCGATTACACTGCGGAGTTCCGTAATTTCTGTCCCGTAATGCTGCGGATGGAGTGCCTGCCCGCAATGGCTCATGGTTGATTGTGGCCCTTAAAGGGAAACGACGCATAGTTCGAGATGTCGGGGTTTCGGGTTGGCCGACAGGATGTCACTGAAAAGTATATTCAAGGGAAAATGATTTGAGTTTGAGATAGCGAAGAATTAAAGATAACCGAGTTCGACAGAGTGAGGTTCTACTGTAGCTGAATACTTGTCGACATAACACGCCGTTCAGTCGTTCTTTTCCTGATAACATCAGAAAATGGAATCCATCTTTAAAGCATTAAGCGATCGATCGAGTCTGTCTCGGCTTCGGCAGATTCATGCAAGCGAAGGCAGATTCAGTCTCTTGCAGCTGCCATACACACCCTCCCTGACCCTAAGAACTAATTAGCAATTAGATTATGAGCTCTCGATTGATGAGGCCCAAGGCCGAATCAACTATCACCTCATAGAAATCGAGAGCGAATAAATAATTTAATTGTTTTAGTAGAATTCTAACTGAAATAAGCGCAAATAACGGTTTCTAATAATCTTTTTACGCATTATTGAACTTTACGCTTTAACAAAATCGCACGCATTGAGTTGTCCTTGGTAAATTTGCAGTTGTTTACGCGCGCGCACCCGTTTTTCAATAATTTCAAGTTGTTAAAGTCAAGAAACCGCTAATGTCCTTCTTTTAGTCTTCTCAGGAACTTAATTATCCATTTACATCTAAACTTTCCTCCAAAACCTCGGAAAAATGATAAAAACTTCGCATTTTGTGGACGGTCGACAGCCACTGCACTCTAATGGCTGCTAGTATAGGAGTAGCTCAGCCAATCAGATTGCAGCATTTGCATTAGTATACTAGTAGAATTCTGCTAATCTAATTCAGTAGAATTCTACTAGTATACTAAGGCAAATGCTGCAATCTGATTGGCTAAGCTACTCGTATACTGTTAGCCATTAAAATGCAGTAGCTGTCGGTCGTCCACGAAATGCGACGTTTTTATCGTATTTCCGAAGTTCTGGAAGGAAGTTTAAATGTAAATGAATGATTTAATTCTTGAGGAAACTAAAAGAGGGACATAAACGCATTCTTGACTTAAAAAACTTGAAATTATTGAAAAACCGGCGCGCGCGCGTAAACAACTGCAAATTTACAAAGGACAATTCAATACGTGCGATTTTGTTAAAGCGTAAAGTTCAATAATGCGTCGGAAAATATTTGGAAACCATTATTTGCGTTAATTTAAGTTAGAGTTCTACTAAAACAATTAGATTATTCGCTCTCGATTCTTATGAGGCGATAGTTGATTTGGCCTCCGGCCTCATCAACTAGCTATCACCTCATAGAAATCTCGAGCTCATAGTCTAATTGTTAAATAGTTACTATTAGAATAAATTACGATAAGCACTTTCTTGCGTTGTAGATTACAATCCACCGTAGGAAAAAAGATGGCGGCTGCACATTTTACCACAATACCTTGCGAACCTAACACAGCCTATATGGCACGAAGAAAGCCAAATTTTTACAATATTTGTTCCGGTGCTGAGGACGAGATTTCATAACTTTTCTGCACATTTTTATGAGCGTTGTGAACTATAGGTAAATGTACCAGTCGCTATTTTTTTCCTACGGAGGATTATTTCGGGGAGCTGCGCCTGTATACGTTGTATGTCGCCTTGTGCTTATCTCATGTGTGTATGAACACGCTAGCTTGTTTTCATCCTTCGAATAAACCAGCAGTCTAAAACATTGACCATTTTGTAAATTTCGGGAAAGTGCTTTATCAAAAGTTGTTTACGTTAAACAATGCCGCCAAGAGACGATGATAGTCTTCGAAAGGAAAAGAGCGAAACCTTTAGTCGACATCCATACATAGTAGAAAGACAGAAATCAATATATAAACCACAGTGACGAAAACAGCCGGTCGCGAATTATTAATTTTGTTCTTCAAATTTAATTTCTCACGCCTACGCGTTATCGGAACAACGTTTCGGAAAACCAATTTAATAAGCAAGACACTTCCTCTACATCGCACTTAGTGTTTGAAATAAGCAACATTCTATAATCGCAGCAGTATATGGGAAACCCTATTACAATGGGGCTACCTCATATGTAAACGTACCAGGGGCACTTAGAGGGGGATTTGCCACAAATAAACAAGAACAATGTTGAATCAGTTTGTAGTCGGATTGATAGATATGTTATATTGGTCGATATATAGAATCAATTCTGCCTATAAGATGCAAAACTGTAACTTTAAAACCTAATACAAACAGCACCTGCAAGGTGTTCAAACTTCCATTTGGGAATAATCGTTTGGCATCAGACAACTAGAAGTCTTTAACGTAAATGAAATATAGTTTTTGTTATCTCAAAAGAACGGAGACTTCCAAATCGATTAGCCAATGATTCTGTTACGAAAACATTCTAGTTAAAGAAAGTAAAACTCTTATAATTCAAGAGGAAAACGTTAACTTGAGATGGCATGTTTCAATAATTGTATCATTATATATATTTATGGCGTTTTTCTTCCCTTTTGCTTTGCACAGACTAATGTAAGTTCTCAGTACATTGAAGGTAAAGGCAAAAGAGAGAAACTTGACAGCTAATCAGTAAGGTGAGTAAGATTACAATCTGTCACTTTAAATTACTTTAACAGCAACGCCTTAACCCTCAAAGTGCGATTCAGTTAAGATGAAAGTAGTCTGTACTACTGGGAACATATTTTTCCACACAAAATAAATTATATAAAGTAAAGTGTCGTCACTGAGGGATAAGTCAAAGGGTAGCAACAGCAAAACGGCCTGCGCTGTGACTGAACAAGTCAAATACGTTTTCTATTTGCCCATGAGAATTCCCCTCACGCAACTTGTTTGAATGTAGACAAAGCAGACTGCCTTTCGTGGGAGAATTAT